CTATATGATTGTAATAATGCTAGCAGTTGTTCAACATGTTGGAAAAACTATTTGGAGTCTTAAGTGAAAATGCTAATATAATCTAATTCTGGCAGAAAATCACTTGTGGACATGGTCTTGTCTCCTTTCATTTATTCTACTTCTGCAAAGGGTCTGGGTATTTTTTTTTTTTTCAAAGTGCTTTAGCAGGATATCCCAGTTAAAGTTTTGACAGACTGTTTATAGTTCACTTCTACCCGGGGGCAATGGAAGATGCATTACAGGATAAGCAAGGTGACTCCTGGGTAGGATTATTAACATTGAAATGAATTCAGACAGGCTGACATCTGCACAACCACCATGGGTTAGTAACAGAGCAAGAATTCATGTGCAGAAGTCTGCAGTGCCTACCAACTTCCTTAAAGTAAATGAAACACAGAGTAAGGGTCTGAAAACAAGAACACACAGACTTGAATGACAGTATTAAAAAACAGTCCTTAACACTAAAATACCTAATGCTTCGTCAGAACTATTGTTTGCTTAAGATTGGGAAAAGTACACACGGGTGTATGTGGCAGCTCAGGGACAACCTCAGGTGCTGTCCACTCCCTCCCCCCATTTATTTTGAGATCCTGGCCTGGAACTCATCAAATAGTCACTAGCATTTCAAATGCACACTACTATGCCCTGGCTTTTTTTTTTTTTTTTTTAACTTGGTTTCTGGAATTCAAACTCATGTTCTTCCTCATTGTAAAGCAAACACTTTCCCTACCCTACTATCACCCTAGCCTGAACAGTTCTTCCTTTTAACCACAGTGTCCAAATCTCTGATCTTGCTTTGGCACCTGGCTGTCCTCATCAGTTTATTCCACTCACTGTGGGATGTGCCTGCTGTGTGCTCTCCCAGTGCAGAGAGCTGCCAAGCTCACCGGCCTTTCTGTCCACAGTGAATCTTGCACACAGTAGCTTACTGCACACTGTCGTGTGCACACCAGGTGTTCAAATCCTCTCACTAGCCCTAGGCTGTAAGCCTCAGGACAAGTGCTGAGGAATTTGGATGTTTTAATTGAGTTTTACCTTTATATGTTCTCTCTCTCTCTCTCTCTCTCTCTCTCTCTCTCTCTCTCTCTCTCTCTCTCTCTTTGGTTTTTGGTTTTTCGAGACAGGGTTTCTCTGTATAGCTTTGGAGACTATCCTGGCACTTGCTCTGTAGACCAGGCTGGCCTTGAACTCACAGAGATCTGCCTGCCTCTGCTTACCAAGTGCTGGGATTAAAGGCATGCACCACCAATGCCCGGCTAAATTCTCTTTTGTTATAGGAGAAGCTGATTATTTGAAGAGTTCCCACACAGTGCTCATGAAAGATATAGGGTACCTTCTTTACATATTGATTCTGTCTTAGATATCCAGTCCTGGAGGAAGAACACACTATGAATCCAGGGATAATCGTGTAGGGGATTTGCCAAAATCACAATCATATTCAAATTGAAAATATAAGTTACTAAGAATTCCTGAACAGTCTTGGCCAGTTTGAGTCATCCACAGTGCCATTCTACAAAGGATCAGAATGTGGCCATCACCAGAAGGCAGAAATAAATGCAAACATGACTTACTTTGTGGTGGAATTTTAAGACATTTAATCTGCATGTTTAGAAATTGTATTTCATATTAATTGAAGCCTACTAGAAAAATACATTTTTAAATAGAAAATCAGAAAAAAATAGAAACAATCATTTTTTTTCTATTTGTTTTCTCCCTTCATTCCTCTTTCTCCTCCATTTTTTGAAGTTACATGTTTTTATTGTTGTATATCTCTGTATATTTTAAATCTACATACCTAGTATCATTAGGTTAAGGTACTGCATTCGGCTTCCTCATTCCTCATTTGATTTTCAGCATCCTCCTTGCTCTCTGAGTATCAATTTAATCATTGCTTCTAAGCACTGCATACAGCTTTCTATGTAGAGGACACACCATATTGAGTTATTGCCTCTCAGCCACTAATTATTATATACCATATTTTGCTGCCAAGACTACAAGCACTAACCCAGTAGTTGAAAAATAAAACATTAGATTTTGTTGTTTTAGGTGATTTCATGCATCCATCTGTATTTCTGCGCTGCATGGGAAAACTTTAGCTCCGCCGAGTAAGCAGTCAATAAAACTAAAATAGGGGCTTTAGGTGGACAGAAACACCACGCAGAGAGAGATAAGTATGTTTGGGCTACATGTTTGAGTTCAAGGAAACATTTTGTTTTATAGTGGTTTTCAACCTTCCTAATGCTGTGACCCTTTAATAGAGTTCCTCACATTGTGGTGACCCCCCAACCATAAAATTATTTTCATTGCTACTTCATAACTGTAATTTTGCTACTGTTATGAATCGTAATATAAATATCTGTGTTTTCCGATGGTCTTAGGGGACTCCTTTGAAAGGGTTGTTTGATCTCCCAAAGGGATCCCACAGGTTGAGAACCACTGGTTTAGAACTATTTCAAAGAACACTGTAACTAAATTTATTGTTTAGGAAAATATTAAATGTGACTGTGTGTTAGAAGCTAGCCTTGAATGCAGGTCACCTTTGTGGCATCGTGTCTGTGATATGCCATTCCTCGGAAGTCTGTAGGATGATCCATTTGCTGTGGGGTATGTCAAAGTTACATGTTGTGCCTCTGAATACTTAGTGTACACTGGTGCACTTGACTGTGCCATTTTAGTTGATGGGAGGCAGAGGGGCCCGCAAAGAGGCTGTGGCTCAGAGAAGTCAGAACACAGCACTGCAAACCTTAACTCACTAGACCTGGGAGACCCCAGCACATGTCAGCAGTGGTCATTTATTGACAAACATACCACATCTCCATAGCCCTGTGTGCCTTGGAAGGCCCTGGTGACTAATCCCTGAATTTCCTTATCAACTTCTTCACTGTGTTCTTGGCAAGAGGTCTGCTGGGAGCAGCATCCCACACTACTTAGGGGCATGGGCTATCACCCTAGTTCAGATTCTCACTCCTTAGTTTCTTAGCAGTGTAATCTTGAGCATGTTGTCCCATGTTAACTTCCTGGTGTGTAAACTAGGTGGGGTACACTACAGGATAGCTACACCCATGTGACAGGAGTGTGGGCAGCACACAGACAGGGTCTGTTCCATGCTGTTGTGTCCTTTGTCTCTCTATAGCCTTTCACACCAAACCACTAACTCCCCACCCCCACTAGCCTTTCCCTCCAGTAATCCTCAGTGTCCCATGCCTTGTTCGAGTGCTTGTGGCACCACAAACCTCCACAGTCTGTTTTTACAGGTTATAAAAGCACATGCATTTTATCTCTCAAAAGAAACACTAGGTTCTGGAGAGCAAAGCCCTTGTTGGAGACAAGGCATAGTTGTGTAGCCCATTGCTGGTCTTGAGCTCACTATGTAGCTTAGACTGGCTGGGAATCTTGATGTTCCTACCTCTGACTCTCAAATGCTGAGGTTACTAAGGTTCACCTTTATGCCTTTATATGGTCTTTCTTACTTGGTTTTGTCTCATGGAAAATGATTCCTGTTAGGTGTCAATGCCAAGAATAGTGTTTTTCCTAAACTGCTGGATTCATTTTCTGATTTGGGAGCTTATGTTTGTCTTTCTTTCTGAAATGACTAGTGGAAGTTCAGTATGTGAGTGGTAATTTACTTCTGTCCAGGCACTGCACTGTTGAAGACATACTTGGTATGCAACTCTTTCCCCATCTTCATACTGATTTCCTATTTATTTCCATGTGGTCTTGCTTTTTGCAACTTTTGAAACACTTCCATCTATGCTACGAACACTGTAAATTGTCCTGAGAACTCAGTGGGACATAAATTGTACATATATTTGAGTCAACATGGGAGAACAGTAGGAGCCAGGAGGTATAGCAGGCACACCAGTGAGTGCTTAAGCCACTGTATGCATACCATGGCATGAGCTTGGGCAAGTTATCTCCAAACCTCAATGCTTCATTTTCTAGTCCATCTGAAGTTTGCCTTTACCTGTCTCGTGGGCTGGTTACAATGTACATGTATGATTGTGTATACACAGGCTCCAGTACTGTCCCAGGTATCTGATTGTTCTTTATTAGTTCTATCCTGTGACTTCCAATGTATCCTTAATAGCTAAGCTAAAGTGGGCTGGAGGTGTAGCACAGTAGGTGGAATACTTCTCTGCCATACATAAAGGCCTGATACCCAGCACTTGGGAGGCTGAGGCAGGAACCTTAAAAGTTCAAGGTCAACTCAGCTATGGAATGAGTTCAAGACCAGCCTGAGATACATAAGACTGCGCTAAAATGAAAGGAAAGAATTAAGCTAATCTAGAGGTTGGGGTTGTAGTTCGGTGGTAGAACATTTGCCTAGCAAGAATGTGAGGCTTTGGGTTTGACTTTCAACACAGAAAAAAAAAAAAAAAAGCTGTACAGATATACATATTAACAAAGTTTATTTTGAAATAAACTTGTATCTATATTGGTTTTTCGAGACAGGGTTTCTCTGTGTAGCTTTGGAGCCTATCCTGGCACTCACTCTGGAGACCAGGCTGGCCTCAAACTCACAGAGATCCACCTGCCTCTGCCTCCCGAGTGCTGGGATTAAAGGCGTGCGCCACCAACACCCGGCTAACATATATCTGTATAAATGTGTGTAGGTTTTATCAGGAGTTGATGCATTACAGAAATTAAGTAAGGCTTAATTGCTTTAATTAAGTAGTTGCCTCATGCACCTATCATCTTGTGGAGTGAGTAAAAACCTAGAACTTGCCTTATATATCTGGAGAATGGCACCCAGTCCTGTCTCCTACCTTATAAAACTGCCCAATAGGCAGAAGGCATTCCAATAACAAGGTGTTGCATTGTAAGAAAGTGTTGGTCCTGAGGGTCAGATTGTACCTGACAATGGCTTCCAGGCATGGACCGAGTCCCACCTGGCTGCCCTACCGGGATGGGAATGCCCCCGGGACCACAGCCTCTACTTCCTGCTCTGATCCCTCTGTCTCCCTTCTCTCCCCCATTAGCCCTGCAGTGGTGCCTGGGAAGCAGCATCCTGTGGGAAGACAGAAGATCAGATGACAGCCTCCAGTCAGGCTCGAAAATACGTGAATGCATTCTCTGCTCGGACTCTGGTCATGTGAGACATTTCCAGAAAAGCATTATGGTTTTCAGAACACTTAAAGTTGACTTGTGACATATCATTCCTCAACATGGAACTCTTCATGATTGAGAGAAGGACCTATTTTTGTTGTGGTACAACAGTTGAGAGCAGCACCAAGTGCATTTTAGTTGCATGAAATCTTATTGGATTTCACCCAACTAAAAAGAATTTTTTAAAAAAAAATTAATGAATAACAGTCTTACCTAAATTATTAGGTAATGAATTGTAACCATTTGTTAATGTCATAATCAGATTTTTTTAAAAAAAAATAAAATGATTTATTTGTATTTTAGAGGATCCAACAGATCAGTATTTTTGACTGTGGTGAATTTAAAAAAAAAATTTATACAAAGAAATACCCCAGTATTTCACATTTCTTAATCACTAAGCATACACACACACATTTTTAAAAAACAGTATAAGCATTATTATCAATATTGGCTAACTACCACATAAGAGTTCATGGAGCCTGTAAGAGCTCGTTTGTAGTTAATAATATTGGAAATACATTTATTATACTAAACCATTTCATGAGGATTTTTGTTAGCTTGCTTTAAAAATTATTACTGTATGAAATAGTTTTATAAAAATTATATTTTTATTCAGTAATTTAATTTTGTAAATGCCAAATAAAAAAAAATGTGTTTCGCTGCTATGGTCTTAGCCTGTAGACATGCTGCTAGTGTCAAAGGGGCAGTAGAGCTTAAATGAAAGAAACTGGTGTTAGATAATTGGCTCTGCAGGAGTATTGCAGACTTTTTTATTTTTATATATATACTTTTTCCTTTTGTAACTGGAAAACTTATTTGGGAGATTTTTTTGCATTTATTGTACGTTTTCGTTTTTTTAGGAAATTGTTTCTTTTTTGTTATTGTTGGTTTATAAAAGCATGCATTGCACTTCTTTTTTTGGGAAATTTATGTTGTTTATGTCATTTGTTTTGTTTTGAGTTCAGTTTAACTATTCATTAATTCAGGCATTCTGAGTTTGATCAGCATTCCCCATAGTTTTTAAGTGTATGGACCACAACTGCCTCATGGTTCTTGTGTTTGTGGGGAAGACAAACATGGAAGTCAATAGCTGGTTTCTGCCTTGAGAACACTGGGTGAAAGATGGCAGGCCCTGAACTTCTGAAATGACAGTGTATTTACTGCCTTGTAGCAAAATAAAGCTGTGCCCTTGTTTTACATACTTCCTGATCTCTCTTGTTTTTGTGATTTGGGGTGATGGCTACACATCTAAGAAAAACGAGACAAACTCCAAATACCATTTTCTTTCCAAAATGTGCTTGCCATCTAAAATTTATGCCAAGTGTCTTTGCTGTGGGGAAAGTAAAGACAAACCAAGTTAAGTAGTTCAGAGAAGAATCACAATGACAATTGGGAAGACTCTTTCAGATTGTCAAGCAAGGGCTCAAAAACTCTTGAACTGGAGAAAAAAATGCACTTATATAACTACTGGTAATTGGGTTGGGGAGATGACTCAGCATGTAATGTGTTTAGCATAAGGACCTGAATTCCTGTCCCCAAGAACTCCCACACAGCCAGACAAGGCCTCCATGTATGTAGTCCCAAGTTTCCTATGGCAAGATGGGAAATGGAGGCAGGGGAATCCCAGGAAGTTTGCATCCAGTGAATGGACACAGGAAATGGTAAACAAAAAAGACCCTATCTCCAGTCAAAGAGCCAAGGTTGTTCTCCAATCTCCATGAATGTGCTGTGGTATGCATGTTTCTCCCCTCCCCCATCCCACACATACATATAGGTGTTCCTGGATACACAGAGTTTGTTTTTTAAGTGATATTTAACAGATATGGGCAGGATGTGGGTACTGAAGTGAAGGGTCATGCTATGTGGAAGGGGAGAGTCATGGAAGACATTTGGAGAGTCTTAGGAGACACTGTGAGATGCAATAACCCTTGGCAAGGTGCAGGCTTTCTCTTTCTGCTTTCTGATATAAATGGCTCTGCTCTCCCATCATAATGGGCTGACATCTCTGAGTCTGTGAGCCATAAATCTATCTGTTCTCAAGCTGCTTCTAGATGTTAACACAGCGATGAAAAGTAATAAACACAGACACAGTGTAAACAGTTTTTCACCCAAGGCACTCAGATCCAAACTCCTACTTTATGAGTTTTCATATGCATAACACAGTCTGTCCTCATGAAGACAGGGATGTGTTAGATCCAATGACTAGTCTTTAGGACCATTTTACAATCTTTGGTTGTCCTGAAGAGTAACACATTTTCTGAGTATCAAGAAGCTTGTTGACCAGGACCTGGCAGCTGACGTCAAAAAATGGAGCCTTGATGATCACTTGGTTATCTCAGTGTGTCAATCTAAGTACTAGAGATGGTGAATGTGGGGCTACACAACGGGTTTCATCTATAAGAGGGCTAGGGGTATGACTCAGTAGTAGGGCAAGAGCTAAGCACATGAAGCTCGGGATTGACACTCTATAAACTCTGACCTTTTTGGAAACCGTAGTTGCATGGAAAGCAACTGGGAATAGCTGTTGTACTGCCCAGATTTTTCTAGTGGCTTTAGGAAAGCAGTGCTCAGGGATTTCCAATTTATTGCTTTAAAGTATATTGTTCTATAGGTTGAATTCCTGAACTTTTTTGCCTCCAATTCCCAAGAGTTGGGATTCCAGGCATGGGCCAGTACACCTGGCTCTGACTAGTTTGTTTTATTTCTTGTTTCAGTGATCCTTCTCTCTGTGACAGAAATCCAGGTAGCAAAGTATATGGAAGTAGTGCATTTACTACCTAAACAAAAAGCTGCTCTTAAGTTACTGTACAGTAAGATACTGTAAAGTGGCTTCTGAAGAACAGGAGAGATACTAAGAAGACAAATCTGTGCTCTGTCCTCAAATGGTAGATGAAAGAGATGTCAAGGAATAGGTCGTGAAGGGACTTCAGCATCACTGGAATCTTCTGTTAGGGCCCCCGCATCGCCTCTTCAGTTCTGGAGTCTGATAGGTTGGGTTGTAATTCAGATTTTGCCTTTTACCACCTTTGTGACTTTACAAAAGTTTCATTTCACCTCTCTAACTTCGTCTTACTTACATTGGATATCACGGTACACCTCAGGGCTGCTGAGCATCATAAAGATGATGTGAAACAGAAAATGCGTTCACAGATGTCTGTAAGACTCTGGTTCCTGTCCTTAGGATACATCACTGACATCCGAGCAATTAAGAACATGTTGACTGCCCAATAATGGGGAAGGAAAGATTTCTGAGGCTCATGTCCCTGGCTGCAAATTAAGTATATTCAAATATAAATATTTTCCCTAATATTCTCAGTCATTCTACCATGGATTAATCTTCTTCCATTCTAGATATGCAAATGACAGGGCAATTTTCCTTCAGCTTCTTGGTTTCTTATACAGAGCATTTTACATGTGCTCTTTCTCTTCCATTGCTAGTAGTGATATAAGCAGTGATACTGAGTTTGTTAAGTGCTTACTGCACACTGTCAAGGAGGGCAGGAGGGAAGGTTTCCAGCAGCAAAAATCATAACGGTGAAAGCCAAGCGGTCAGGATGTTAAGAAACTGAAAGGGAAATCTGGTCAAAAGGGGAAAGATAGGAGGCCCTGAATTGAGGTTTGAACTTTGCCCTTTGTGATATGAGCAGTTATTAAAGGCTTTTAGGTGTAGATAAATAAAATGATTAATTGATATCCGACTTATAGAAACCACCCCTTTCAAACTCTTTATTCACACAGAGTATAAAATTAATCCTCAGGTTAGTAAAAGGTGATCAGAGTCCAAATTCCATGACAGTTAATTTCTTTTTCATAGCATATTTCCTGCTGCCGAGTTTCAACAGGGAGTGTTCTCTAATCTCAGATAATCTACCTGCAAAAATATGTGGTGATCTGCGTTTCATTAAAAGTTTCACATTTTATAATCCATAATGTAATAATTGGCTTGGGAAGAAGTTCCATAGGGCATTTTTTTTTTCCTTTAGAAGCAAGATACTTTCAAACAGTAATTTCTCTAAAACCTTTCCTGCTAAACTTTCCACCAAATCTTTTGATATTTTGATGTGGTTTTTTTTATTCATTAACTAAGGAACCCGGTTAACATTTGTTCTTGAAGAAATTTCAGCTTAATTTTATATAGTATTCTGCCCTAAACTATAGAACACATTCTGTAATCACTGGCTCTCGAGTTTTATTGGACATCAGAGACTTAGAATTCTATTAGAATGGAAATTTTCCATCTCACCCTCAAGAATTTAAGTCAGAGATAAGTGATGTGTGGGCTCTAAGTCACCAGTGTTTAACAGTCACCAAGTGACTCCAACAAAAGTGGTTTAAGAGAATCAAACTACAAAACCCCTGCCTTATGAACAATTTTACAACCTAAGGTTCTTTCTGAACATTCTTCAACACTTCTAATTTCTTTTAATTTTTCTATTTATTTCATGTACCAACCACAGTTCCCCCTCCCTCCTCTTATAGACCTATAACCCCTAAGGAAATAGAAGCAGTCATTAAAAGTTTCCCAACTAAAAAAAGCTCAGGGCCAGATGGTTTCAGAACAGAATTCTCCCAGAATTTCAAAGAAGAGCTAATACCAATACTCCTCAAATAGTTCTACAATAGAAACAGAAGGAACATTGCCAAACTCTTTTTATGAGGCTGCAGTTACCTTGATACCCAAACCACACAAAGATGCAAAAAAGGAAGAATTAAAGACCAATCTCCCTCATGAACATTGATGCAAAAATACTCAAAAAAATATTGGCAAACTGAATCCAAGAACACATCAAAAAAAAAAAAAAAAAAAAACACCGGCTTCATCCCGGAGATGCAGGGATGGTTCAACATACGAAAATCCATCAATGTAATCAACCATATAAACAAACAGAAAAAGAATAACCATATGATCATCTCACTAGATGCTGAAAAAGCCTTTGACAAAATCCAACACCCCTTCATGATAAAGGTCTTGAAAAGATCAAGGATACAA